ATGTATTAGTATCAGAAAGCGACAGTGACTACGGAACCCGATTGTCAAATACTAATTACTTTATTCTGATCACCTGTCAATCAAATAGCGCGAGACAATTAGAATCTATTATTTTCTTAGGTCAAAGTTCAGCTATTATTAATTAATGACTAGCCATAAAATTGAAAGTAGAATTATGATAATGATTAAGATTAACATATATTATAGGTATAATATCAAACCTAGTCTGGGTATGTGCGGTTGGACACCCGGGTTTGCATTGAGAGCTATCCGATCGAACAAATTTTCAACAAGGCTTCTCAATAATAGTGTTGCAAGATACACAGATTTGTATGTCCACTGTACACTGCATGGCTTTGGCCGTCTTTAACTCTAACCTAATCAGTTGTAGAAAGGAAGAGCAATCTATTCCTCTCTATTCTTTCCTTATTACTGATTATTTCTATATTCATTTCACTTTTTATAATAAGTATTCTGATATTGTTGTTTTGTTTTATATCTAACGGTTTTAACTATAGTCAACGCATGTGTTTACACCCATTTAAAATCCGGCTGAAATCCGATATTTTGACGGACACCTGTTGTCTCTGCCTTATCTCGAACAGTTCCGGTCCAAACTTACCAAAGTTATACCCAAATTAAATCGTTAATTTCCGCCAAATTGAGCGTCTCTCACACCTGGTTAATGGGTGACCAACACCTTTCGGATTTACTACCGACCTCTCACCTTTCAGTTCCACCCAGTGATTTGGAAGTACTTGGTTATCTTTTGAATGGGGTTGGGGTGTGTACCAGCTTTAGCAAGTATTATACAGCCATTCTTGATTTTGATGTCTTCAATGAATCCACCTCGACCAATCTGGCCCTACCAAGCTCCTCCGACATGATATTCGGATGGGATATCGGAACTGGATCTGGAGCCAGACATATGTCGATTTCATTTTGCTCCGACCAATTTTTGGGGTCGCTAGTTTTTGAGATTTTCAACCATGACAACTGGCATAACTTTTGGTACCTATACAAATCTTAACTCTTCTCAAGTCGATCGATACATTGCCTAGTTAGACCAGATTGGGAGAAAGTTTGCATGTACTACTATTCACCTGTTTTTGTCCAATAAGGAACAATTCGGGACGGCAGCAAAACTGGAAAGTCGAGAATTTTTTTAAAATTCTAACAGACGTTACAATTGGTTCATTTCGCTCCTGTATCTAGCGTTGTCCTATAAAGATTATATATTTCGACCAGTGGCTCAGAAAAATAAAGATTTGAATTGAATTGAGTAATAAAGGGAGGAGGTTTAGTGTAATAAGATCAATTTTTCTTTCTCTTTTTGAAGAAGGCCCTTACAAGCGTGTAATGGAAAATCTTTTCCAGCAATCAAAAAGTAGTATAGAGATAGACTAGAAACAAAGTCAGAAATGACGAAGATATACTAGGTAAATAAAGGCATTGTTTCAGATCACAGTGAGACGGATTTGAATGGGAGTGTGAAAACGACATAATACATATTCGAACGCATCATTTTAGAGACAACAGTGAATACGACACATTCCACACGAAACAAACCAGCGACAGAGAATCTGCGACCTTTTAGAAGGATTTCGACAATCTGTCAAAAGTTGCGGTCATTCAGAACTTGTGACCTTCAGACTTGGTATAAGGTCAAATTGTTAAAATTGCGAACTCTCTAGTTTTAAAGGTAAAAGAGAGGGTGTAAATATATCTAGGAGTAAAAGTCAAACATTGAATGAAGTAACGATCTACTGTTAAAATTGACAGTCTATTTTAGTAGGTAACTAGTTAACAATGGGCTGATTTACCTCCAGAATACAGACAACAGTTAAATAGTTTACACATTTTACAAAGGTTTTCTATTTATGCCTATAGAGATAATTGATAATACAACCACCAAAGCTTCTATAATTTTTCCAATGTCTGAAATAATAGCAGGAATAATTACTGGATTACTAGAGAGGACCTCGCATCTCAGCTGAATTTAGTTATCTGGATTAATATCACACAACACTGGTGTGCCTGAGAACGGTATGCTATCGTCTCATCAGTGGCCTTCTGTAATGTGTAGATTAATAAACGTAGATTCTTTCGATGTCATTCTTGCGTTAATTGTACGTTGATCAATTTGCCTGTCGTACCTTCAGTCGAATTACCCTCTAGAACAATCCTTCAAACTTACGACAGTGAGTGATATGCAAGCTTGGCCTTAAAATTAAGAAATTGGTTCAAACAGATGAAAGCTAATTCGACTTAGAGTAAGAGATTTGGCTAATGTAATTTTAATTATAAAACTATTTTTTCTGGACCGTTTATAACATTATTTTAGTAGAGTTAAAGTGGCCCTTTAAAACTAATCAACTTTCAGTCTAAGTACCCCATTACTTTCAAATTAATTAGTAGACCCAAGGAAGTCTATGATGTAATTTAAAAACAACCCTTATCGTTGTCTTTATATGATACCTCTCGGTCGAGATGACCATGTTGAACCAGGTAAAAGATATCAAATTCAATTGGCGTAAAAAACACACACACTAAAAATAAGATATATAGACACAGCTTCATGGAACAACAACCACAAGTGACAGTATTATGCAATGTTTCGACGCGTTTCGCCCGTCGTCCTTAGGGCACAAAATGATACAAAGTGATAGGTAAACTATTTATATAAAACAGGACTTTTTTTTATTTACGTCATCGGTCAGAATATTTCAAGGTATAAGGCGAAATATTTCTCAGGGTCTTAGCCACTGGCCTGTATGTCAATATACAAAAACTGAAGTTTCATGAGGTAAGGAGAGCTCAGTTCGACTGGCGATTCAGAGCATTCTCCGTCACAATTGACATCACCGACACGTTATTTTAAGGCAGGGGTTTTCAACTTGGAGGTATGTAATTGTATATTATGTAGTCTAGCATTACATTTTCGGACAAGCAAATTCAAATTGTTCTATTCAGTTAGACTATATTTTAAAAAAAAACGAACATTTTGTCAGTGGTCGGTTCGCTCAGATCGGTCAGATATTCCTAGAAGTCACAAATCGATTGGTGTAATGTATGTAACATATCTTCCTCCACCTCTGATTAGTTATTCATATTCGTGCTGGCGCGTTCAAAAAACATCTTCAAAAACATATTATGAGCGCTGAATCGATACATCAGTACTATTCTTTGATCATGTCATGTCTTTTTCATTTTTCAGCCTCGGGGATAAAAAAGGGTTTGGATTGCAGGCGATATCCGTCTAGTATCCCTCGTTTAATGACATTTACCTCGCGATATATTAAAACGAGACAAGGTAAAAATTCACGGTGAAACACGAGCCCAGTTTCAAACAAGAAAACTAATGAGTTATAAAGGCTTGATAAAGAAAAATCTAAAATCATTTTTTTAAAAGATGAAAGAGAACCGTCGAGAAGTCTTTCACGTGAAACTCACATGATTGACAGGCCACATGATAACGAAGCACGCGTAAGGAAATGCAAAGATTCAAGGACAAAAGTAACAAACCAAAGCAGATGGATTCAGATGGAAATATCTCGCCCTGGACATTGCAACTTAAAGCTGCGAATGGACGAGGTGCGGTATATGTTGCGGGATTATCGATGAAGTCGAAATGGATAAAGCTGAAGACATTCATATTTTCATACTTCCGTCAACATTTTTTTTAAACGTGTGGGGGGAAAAGCAGATTTAAAATTTTTTCAAATTGTGTTACCTCATTAGCAAACATGATTATTATTTGAAATTTTAGGATTTCGGCCTGTCTGGAGAATTACCACGTGGGTCTTCCCTCAGTTGACATTCGTAACACAAGTGTCGCCTGGCCCCGTCGTGAATTATCAGAAGCTGTAGAAGATATCATCAGATGATAGAAGTCGTTTCCTGAACACAATGGAACCAATTATCAACTTACTCCAAGGAAACCTGTAATTGTAATGAAATATTAATAAGGGTACGGAGGGCAGGAGGTTTAAACAACAATATGCGACACAATTGACAGCCTCTTATTACTTGATCTGAGATCTGTATGCAACTGACTTAAGGTGCGAATAGACTGCGGTTTCCGGTGCTGAGAGTGGTATGGAGTTATCCATCAGGGTTCAATTCAAGCGGTATTGCATCGCAGTTTGCGAGTCAAAATGAACTCTTGGAGGTCTCTACAAGCTTACGGAGCTAATATCATTGGCAATATCTATCTCAAGTCTGCATGAACATTTTTAATTCCTACTGAATTTTTATGAAATGCGAATTAAAGTTTAATTCGATTTGCCAAAACTGAAATTTGGTGTGATAAATTACTAATTAATTCTTTGAATCTAAACTGAATCCTGTTATCGATACAGTAGAAACAAAAGAAGTCGATCGTCTCGGCATAGTGCCGGTACCCTTACTGCGCCTCTACAGTATCCAACATAGTACCTCGTCTATTCGTATCTTTCTGTCGAAAGAGCATCTTCGTCTTTCTCAATCTTTTCGGTTTCTCGCTGTTATTGATGCAGGTTGAAGAGGCTGTCAGGAAAACATCGTATGGTCTTATAAATATAACTTTAGGCCTGTGGTCACAAATCAATTTATAGTGAAAAAATTGCCCCCTCCCCCTCGATGACAATTTTGTGACCCCTGCTCGACGCAATCGCCTGTTGTTTCCTAGAAAAGCTATCGAGAAGGAATTGACCAATAAACACAGCCGAATGTGTGTAACTCTTCAGATGGATAGGATTTATCCCTTGGTCGATAAGCTTCAATATATTCGAGATAAGAGGAAGGTGAAATGTATGTATGTATACCTGGTGAAAGGATCTGTTTTAAAGATTAAGAGTTGTACATGTATGTACTATTTTATTTACATATACACTAATTAATATCTATATTCACCCCTCATTAACTAATTAGTCAAGTGAATATACAAACATTTTAATTACATTTCCATTGCTGCAGTAGGAATTCAGTAAAAGAATGAGATGCCAGAATGAGACGGCATAATGGATTCTCAGAATAGGATTTCAGAATTCAGCAGAAGAGCGGGATGTCAGAAAGCCATGTCAGAATTGGATGTCAGAATGCAGCAGAAGGATGGGGTCTCAGAAAGGGATAATGGGATGTCAGAATGGGATGCCAGAATTGGATGTCAGAATGCAACAGGGTGGGATGTCAAAATTGGATGTCAGAATGCAGCAGAAGGATGGGATGTCAGAATTGGATGTCAGACTTGGATGTCAGAATGGAATTCTAGAATGGGATGTTAGAATTCAGCAAGCAGAAGAATGGGATTCAGCAGAAGATTGATATTCAGAATTCGGCAAAAGGATTCGGTAGAAGGATGGGATGTCAGAATGGAATGTCAAAATTCTGTAGAAGGATGGGATGTCAGAATGGAATGTCAAAATTCGGTAGAAGGATGGGATGTCAGAATGGAATGTCAAAATTCGGTAGAAAGATGAGATGTCAGAATTCAGTAGAAGATTGATATTTCAGAATTCAGCAAAAGAATTAGATGTCAGAATGGGGTGTCAGAAAGGAATGTCAGAAAGAGACGCCAGACTGGGATATCAGAATGTCAGAATGGGATGATTATGTTTCCATTACTGTAGTAGGAATTCAGTATGAGAATGGGATGTCGTGATTTCATCATTGATGAGAAAAGTATGAATATAGATGAGGATAAGTTCTTCTCGGGTATGGTTGTCATTTTTGAGCAGATCCTAATGGTGACAATGATGGCGATGATGATAATGATGATAATGATGATATTGATGATGATATTAATGGTAATGATTATGATGGCGATGATGATGATGATTGATAATGATGATATTGATGATGATATTAATGGTAATGATTATGATTGCGATGATGTTGATGATTGATAATGATGATATTGATGATGATATTAATGGTAATAGTTATGATGGCGATGATGATGATGATAATGATGACAATAACAATGATGATTATTAAGACGATAACAATGACAATGGCAATGATGATTATTACGACGATACAATGACAATGGCAATGATGATTATTACGACGATAACAATGACAATAACAATGATGATTATTACGACGATAACAATGACAATAACAATGATGATTATTACGACGATAACAATGACAATGGCAATGATGATTATTACGACGATAACAATGACAATGGCAATGATGATTATTACGACGATAACAATGACAATGGCAATGATGATTATTACGACGATAACAATGACAATGGCAATGATGATTATTACGACGATAACAATGATGATTATTATGACGATAACAATGACAATAACAATGATGATTATTACGACGATAACAATGACAATAACAATGATGATTATTACGACGATAACAATGACAATGGCAATGATGATTATTACGACGATAACAATGACAATAACAATGATGATTATTACGACGATAACAATGACAATGGCAATGATGATTATTACGACGATAACAATGACAATAACAATGATGATTATTACGACGATAACAATGACAATGGCAATGATGATTATTACGACGATAACAATGACAATGGCAATGATGATTATTACGACGATAACAATGACAATGGCGATGATGATGATGATGATGGCAACTTAGATGTTTCCTTCTATGTTCCCTCTGAATTTATCAGGCATCTCTGAAAGACCGTTCTTCTTTGTTCAATTTTCTGAGTGGAACAGTAATCCATTATCTGCCAGCACGTGACGTTGATTAAAGCCAAGTTTGTGGAACCACCCACTTCAATCTAGAAATTATAATAAACACAATCAATATGTATTTTATAGTTTCACTGATTTTTTAAACCTGGTAGCAAATATTTTCTAATTTTTTAATATTTTCATGGTAAATTCAAGACAACTGTCGTTTTCTGCTCTATAATTCATGCCATATGCTTTCAACTAACTGTTCAGTTGTTTCCAATATAGAACATGATACAAGCACCACACTCGGGTTGTTTAGGAATTGTTATGTTCCGGTGCTAAATATTCAGTATTGCGCTAAGGTAACTAAGTTATTGGAAACTAGTTACGACACGCAAAATATCTGCAAATAAGCTCTACCTTTGTATACGCGATTATTACAAACAATGGCGTTAAATGAAATTTTTTAAAGAATTCGCATATTATATTACCCCATTTATACACATTTAAATATTTCCTTTTCAAGTGTGGTATCAACTTTTTTCATCAGAAATATGGAAGCAAATTGTCGTCGCCCCTGTATGTTCGTCCGACTGTTGGTCCGTTCATACCTGCACAATAGAAGGTGTAGTTTTGATCAGATATTGATGTAATTGTTTATGTTGATGAGGTCTTAGTCAAATTGGCTCATCTATATTCTTAGTGTCTTCAGATCTCAAAAGATACATTCTGTTACAAAAACATAAAATGGATTTTCAGGACAGACTCCTTTCTGTTACACAAAACAGTATTGTCGTCCAAATCGTCCAAGACATTATTACGATGAGGGTTTTTAGAATAATGAATTAAGATAAAGAACGAACATGCTCATATTTAGTATAGTAATTGGACTATGTAAAAAATGATGTTGGTTTTTATTATTTACGATTATATGATTAATATTGCAAGGTGATCAACCAAGGCACTACACCTAGTATTATCAACAACGTCTTGTTCAGTTTTGGGCAAAAAATACTAAACTGGTTTGTGCAACATTGAATCCCAAGTTTACTACCGCAACCGCTTCTTTCTGAGGTCGAGTGTAATATCATTCTGTTTAAAAAGGGTGGTAGTTTAAAGGAGAGACATGGAGGTAATATTGCGTGAAACCGAGTTTAATGTCGAGGTAATTGTAGAATGTAAACAGAGGTATTAAAACCTCATTATGTATATACTCTCAATATTACTCTTTAATTATAACTAATATTCTACACTTGTAACGTTTTTACTTTCTTCAATTTTTTTAGAATATTAAAATATATTTAAATCGGAAACATGTTTGTAATTTGATGCACGTGGTATTGAAAAAATGTCCTTAAAAACCTTTTGATGTAATTTAAATTTCTTTTCCCCGGCCAGAGCTTTCGAGGTGTCTTAGTTTTGGTATTGCTTATTTCAAATTCATTAATAAATTCTTTATGAAAATTGTTGATAAAGTTTGAAAGTAAAACTGCTTAGAGCGATTTGACCAAATTGTTGTTTCGTTAAGTTGGTTCAGGGATTTTCAACCTAGGGAGAAATTTTGAAACTTTTGGTGGGTAATGAGGCGCTTTGTAGTTTAGTATAAAATTTTTGGAAAATTATAATTAAAGTCGTACTTTTCAGTCAGGCTATATTTTACCGATATGAAAAATATGCTGTTGATGAAGGATCCTATAAGGGGTTATGAAAATTGTTGATAATTTTTTATAGTTAAACTGCTTTGAGTTATTTGACCAAATAACTGTTTTGTTAAGTTAGTTCGGGGATTCTCAACCTTGAGGTGATTTTGACATTTTTGGGGGGGCTTTGTAGTCTAGTTTAAACTTTTTGGAAAATTATAATATAAGTCGTACTATTCAGTCAGGCTATATTTTACCGATATGAAGAATATGCTGTTGATAATGAAAGGGGTAAAGAAAGAAAAAGTCTGGGATAGTTGATCAAAGGGATCAGGGTATCACGAAACACACCTATAAAAAAACCTTTATTGCCACAATGATCTACAGACAGCCAGAAAGAGTTATCTTCATTCACAAAAAGTTAACTAAATTCAGATTCAAACTTCGTCAAAATTGGCAAATACTGCCATGTTTTTTAGTTGGTAAGTCTTGAGTTGATGACTTGGATTTACAGTGTCTTGGATTAAAACAGGTTAAATGTCCCTTTGGTACAATACACACATTGTAATATATCTACCGAAATCACAGTGTATTTAAACAATATTTCCTTGACTTGTGTTTCACGTTATTTTTTAACCATCGTAATTATTCATACATTTATTTATTTTGGCATTGATAGATTCTCATCCTCTATTCGTATGCTTAAAATCTACCTTTCTAACATTGAGCGCGCAGAAAAGTATACCACTACAAATAAAATACGTGCAATGTAATAAAACATATCCGCATATAGTAATAAGCCTTATATTACTCTAGGGCGTAGGTTTTCAACCAAATGGACATGTCCCAAGGTGGGGATATTGCACTTTCTTTTGGGGACATTTGATGTATCGCAGTCAGTCACATGCTGTGAAAAATAAAAACTTTCCAACTACAATATATACAACATCTCATATGATGACTACACTATACACAGTCTTAATTAACATTATCTAGGAGTACTCAGAGAAATATTACTATCAAACTATGTGAGAACGTGTCTGATATCCAATCATAGATATACACTTTTGATATTTGGGAACATCATTTTCATGCTGATTCGATTTGGGGACACATACAAAAAACAGGTTGAAAACCACTGCTCAGGGGGAGGGGGAGGGGGTTCATTCAAAACAAATTTGATCAGGAGATATGCATCTTTAATTTTGTCACTGAAATCAATGTTTGAAATTTGAACACCAGATTTCAATTATTACAAAATTACCATTAATATCCCATTGAACATAGATAAATATACTATAAACTGATGAATTCCATTAATTAATGCCTAGATTAATTGCTAATTAGCATTGAGCATCTCATAAACCGTAGACTGGACATATTTGAAATTATTTATTCTATGATAGGCATTTGGACGGTATCGGAATCTTATTTCTCAGAGCTTGTATTTTTTGTTCGGCTGCCACCAGATGAAGTTTGGAATAAGATTATTATAAACATCAGTGAACACACCTTACAAAAATGGACATTCTGGATTATGTTGAAGCAAATAAGGCTACGGCTTTAATTTTGGTAGTATTAGCCACGTTATGGTGGCTTGCGACCCGACCAATAAAGGGAGTTCCCCCTGGGCCGCGGCCCATTATTCCTGTTTTAGGAAATTTACTGTCGATGGGACCAGATGCGAGGAAATCGTTTGCAGCTTTAAGAAAGAAATACGGAGATATCTTTAGTTTATATATTGGTAACAAACATGTTATAGTCATCAATGGATACGAAGCTTTACGAGAAATTTTTGTTAAAAATGGCGACGTGTCGAGCAACAGACCAAAAATGGCGATGATGGAAGTCATGGGCAACTATAAAGGTAGGAAATATCAGGCGCTATCAGGATTTTCGGAACCAAATCCAACAACTTTCAAAGACTATAGCAGCAAATTATTAAAGCCAAAATATTTCCAATATATTTTCGTTAGTTGTCGCTATGTTTTAATTCCCATTGTAAACCATACATGCCGTTGTCCACCAGCCCTGTGTGCCGGATCAATAAAGAAGAAACGTCCTCTGCAAACCCATTTCAGTTACAGTCAAGGGAATGCTCAAAATTGCTTGCTTACTGGAGGGCGATGCTTTACAGAGGGATGATGCACCTTGTAATGTATTCTATATTTTATTGACAGGAGTTGTAACATCCATGGGTCCACTATGGCGGGAACAGAGAAGCACGGCACTGGCAGCACTCAGGAAAATGGATTTCGGGAAACAATCGCTGGAGGTCAAGATTCACGAAGAACTCGGCTACTTACTGGAAGCATTTAGTGCTAAAAATAGAGAAGCGTTTGATCCAACTCATCTTCTTAGCGCCAAAGTTTCAAATATCGTCTGCTCAATGTTGTTTGGTGATAGATTTGAATACGAGGACGAGAAATTCAAATTAGTTCTGCAACTCATCAATGATTCCCTAGCAACAGCCGGATCTGTTGCCGCCATGAATTTTTTCCCGCTCTTAGCACACCTGCCAGGCGATATCCTGAACATTAAAAGTTTATATCAAATGAGAGACACATACGAGAAGAACGTATTGGACCCAGTAATTCAAGGGATACGGGATAATTACGATCCCAATAATTGTAACAGTTTTGTGACTCATTACTTGAAAGAAATGGAAAATCAGAAGAAAAATAACCCAGCAACAACCTTAGACAGTAAGTCATTTTCCTGCAAACTTTCTGAATGGGTAGGGGCTTACAACGTATTGTTGTTGTTTTATCATATACCGTAGAAATTACTATATACCATTTTTATATAAAAGTACTTGAATCTTGGTCCAATTAATCTATATGTGCATGGGGTCGTTTTGACTTTATTGAAGGTCCGTCAAGGCAAAAGTTAGTCCGTTTTCCAATGGTTTGACTACAAACCTTTCTATTTCGTTGAATAATGAAGGACTAGAAGAACGGTAGTTTTCACAATACGATAATATGTTTTCAGACAACTTTCAAATTCAATAAGTCCAATCTGCTATTTTTGAAATCCATTCGAATAGCAGTTCTCTCAGCAGCCTCAAGTTATATCGAGCTCCTGTGTTCCTGGCTAACATACAGCATACCCTTATATTTTTTAATGTCTCTTTTCTAGTTGAGAATCTCAGAGCAATATGTACTGATGTGTTCGGTGCAGGAACAGAAACAACGTCGACTACATTACGATGGATTCTTCTATATTTCATCCACCATCCAGAGATCCAGGAGAAGTGTTATAAGGAAATTGTAGAACATGTTGGGACTGGACGATTACCTGCCATGAAGGATCGTGATAATCTAGTCTACATACAAGCCATTTTTACTGAAGCTTTAAGAATCTCGGCTGTTCTACCATTTGGTGCTCCCCATTCAGTTAAAGAGGACATGAAATTTAGGGATTTTTACTTCCCCAAAAATTGTCTGATGATCACCAACATTGATTCCGTATTAAATGATAAAGAAATTTGGGGCGATCCGGAGAATTTTAGACCAGAACGTTTTATTTCCGAAGATGGAAAAATCATAAAGAAAGACGAATTCATTCCATTCTTCATTGGTAAGTAGGTAAATAGATTCTTCATTACAAAGTAGGTAAATAGATTCTTCCTTGATAAGTTGGTAACATGAATTCTTCATTGAGAAGTAGGTCAAAAGATTCATTAATGGTAAGTAGGTCAATGGATTCTTCATTACAAAGTAGGTAAATAGATTCTTCAATGGTAAGTAGGTCAATAGATCCCACGTTGGTAGGTAGGTCAATAGATTTCACGATAGTAAGTAGGTCAATAGAGCCGTCCTCGATGAATATGGCAATGGATGCTTCAGTGATAGTAGATCAATATATTCTTTAGTGGAAAGTAGGTCAAAAGAAGTAGGTCAATAGATTCCACAATGGTAAGCAGGTCTTTCCTTTCCTCCCTAATTAAGAAGAATGGATGCCTCGTTGATAAGTAGGTCAATGGATTCTTGATTTTAAAGTAGGTTGATATATTTTCCGTTGATAAGTAGGTCAATATATTCTTCGTTGATAAGTAGGTCAATGGGTCAATAAATTCCACATTGATAAGTGGGTCAATAAATTCCATATTGGTAAGTAGGTCAATAAATTCCACATTAATAAGTAGGTCAACACATTTTTGTTTGATGATATATGCACGTGTGTGACACGAAAATCAATATCACCAAATTACTGGTTTGCTTTACTCAAATTCAAAACTTGAAACTTCAATTTGTTTTTAGTTGTTATCAATATAATTAAAACAGTTCTGAAACAACTTATGTGATGATTGTCTATGCCAATATATTGAAGTTCCTATCTTTTTTCTGCAGGCCGTCGAGTATGTATGGGAGAAGCATTATCACGAATGGAATTGTTCTTGTCAATAGGTGCATTGGTTCAGCAATTCAGATTCGAACCCGAGGGAGCCAAACCTCCTGTGATTAAAGGACATTTTGGAATCACGTACAGTCCTATGGACTATAAACTGAGAGCTATACCTCGGGAATAGTCCACATTGTTTTGATAAAAGTGTCTGTAAAGGGCCCTATTCTCGTGATTCAAGAATTGGAAAAAATAGGAGGAATGATCTGTGCTCAATCAATGGCAGATAATTTCCTCAATGCTCCAGTCAGCCCCAGGAAGTCATCTGGGCCGTTATTCTCAAAACTTAACTCCATGTTTTAGAAAACAGTTATCTAATTGGATAATTAAACTATATTTAAAATCGATTTTAGTGATTGATCAATCAGATAACTTAGACACTAAAAAGAGTTTTTCGAGAATATACCCAGACTAAATTTTGAAAATATCCAGATTTTTGGGGTTTGTGTTGAATCGGAGACAGGATTGTATCGCTACTTCTGTCATTTGAAGCTTTCAGTCTTATTTTCATTAATCTTTCATTAATTAACTACATTGTTGAATATTTATATAATAAAACTTGTACTATTTTTAAAGAGTTGTAACTTTTTAAAATTCAAAGTGTTTAAAACAATATTTACTTTAAGTTTTTAATTAAATATTATTGAATTATCACCTTGGTGAAAATTAATTTTCATCGGGTGGAAATTCAAGTTTTTAATTCAAAATTATGTTTTATAATTATATTCCACTTTTTTATTGAAAAATTAAAAAAAATAAATGATGCCGTATACGAACCACCGTAGTAAAGGTACGATGTACGGTGTCCGATGCGGAATTATCGATACAGTAGAAAATAGTAAAAGCAAATCGTGTCCGCATCGTGTCCAGACTCGTACCTCGTGTGTTCACTTGTTCTATATTGCACTGTTTTCATAATTCTGCATCGTACACCTCGTCTATTCGCGGCTTAACTTGGAGACAGAAAGGTCCAGAAAGATCATTTGTTATACGAAGCTTGTTATGTCTTTAATATCTGTATCAGTACCATAAACTGATCAAAGCGATTTGATCTTTTTATCCAAACGAAGGGAGAGAGAGAGAGAGTGTAGACTAAATAGTTGGTTGGTGGAATGCAGCGTCAACTGCTTCAGTTTTACACAACCGTGAATTTTTACATTAAATTAATTTGGAACAACAATTTTGCCACATAATTATACTTGATCATGAAAAATGGCGGGAAATTTCATACTGACAGCTGACGTCAAGTTTGACGCGGACGTCAAAGTTCTATAAAAGTAGTCTTGAATAACTAAGTCATAGTATTTATTATAATCCACAATCACTGTGCGACTAAATAATCGAATCTATCAGTTTGAGCGACACTTCCATAATGGTTTGAGATCAAATCATTTAAAAGTAAGGAAAAACAAATACTTGTGAAATTCTTTTAATAAAGATTGTCAAGTATCAATGTCGCCATGACGCCATTTTCTTACTTCGGAGCTGACATGTCGCCATTTTCTTACTGCGGACCTGACATTTTAATAATTTGTTGACCACGGCGCTGTCAGTCTTGCAGTCACGATGGAGTCATGTCCGTCTTTCTCGTAGATATTAATTAATTTTTTTTAGATGAGATGATATCCCAATTGTTAATCATGTTGAATTGGGGGCAAGAAATGGAATTTGTTATTTATACGTGAAGCTAATACAGGGAGCGGGTAGGGTAGATGGTATACAGAAAATCATGATAATATGGGCAAATTTCTAATAATTATAAGGGGCAAATATTTTCAGGTCTCCCGAACCCCCTAAATCATCTGACATCCAACGCTCTCCCTTTTCGGGGGTTGATTTGAGACTTGATTATAAGTAACGGTCTTCCGAAGTACTAAAAATGTACAAAAATCGCATTATTCCTTTAAAAATACATCAAACTTGGAATTTCTCTTTCTATTTCTATACATGTCTTTTCTATACATGGCAAAGTCTGACTTTTTCACGCGGACACACATGGATTTGAACGCTGAAATTTTAATGGTGAGCTGTTAACACTATTACTGATTAGCTTAGCTAACATTCAAAATAAACCTGACTGTACTTTTTTTCTATAACCCCATTTCCCATTTCTTGTCGGTTAAGATTCTGATTGCTCCCGTTCAGGGTTCGATAAGTTTACATATACATTCAGATCCAAACGGTCTACCGTGAAAGGTCGAGGATTGCAGAATGATTCAGATTGTCTCACCTTGTCAGTGTTGCATGTCGGTGGGGGTCTAGTCGCTCGGACTAGTTGAACTAGTTGATTATAGTGTATGATCTAAACTGAAGGCCAAAAGAAACTTAACAAAATTCTAAAACACTCTACATTAAAAATAACACAATATAAATGATTGGATTGAAATGTTTAAAACAGATTGATAAGCACAACAAAATCCAAAAGTATAGCTTCCGGTTATGGCGTCAATGTCGCACAAAGTGAGGTGGGGTATAAAAACGTTATTGATGTGTTTTGGGAAATGTAAGTATCGAACTTGCTATATTTTTTTTGATAAAAATTCACTTTTAAAGAGGTAAATATTCTTTAGGACTGTAGAAAAGTCTCGATAACCCCTTTAACATCACAAAATTTATCCATTCTCAGAACGGACTCAATAGATTGGTCAAATGTAAAAGGTAACCATTCCGAGAAAGCTTTACTGCGTTCTCAGACCACTTGAATTTACTGTAATGTAAATGGGCACATTTTATCGCAGCGTAAAAGGAGCTACTGATCGCAATTTTAAGAGAAACGAACATACTCCTTAAACTCAAATGTACAGTTCAGGGGAGGTAACTACAATTTGTTAACCTTATATTCAGACAACTAATTCCTTTAGAATATCTAGCTGTTGCGTACAGCAAAAGGGAGATTAATCCTTTATTTCTTACTGATTCAGACTACAATGGATTATTTCTTCTGCTTTCTGAAATATTTGCCTTTTTATATTAGCGCGGGCTTAGACTTCAGTTCCAGAAGGTATTCGTTAGTTTTGTCATGTTGGCTGATAAAAGCATGCCCTGTGGATTATTAAAATACGGTTCAATAAATCCGTAGAAGTTGACTAGAGTGAGGTCAAACCCTACATACCCGGCAAACAAGGCTGACCCGCCACATATAACCAGGCCCGTAATGAAAAATTATCAACAAGTGTCCACATCGCAAATGGCCGCATTTAAAGATAAATATATTTCAATTAACTCATAATTAAGATATGTATGAAATATCGGTAAATTCAACTACATGTAGTAGGCCTACTTGTTTTTTTTTTATTATTTCTTATAGGAATTGAAAAAAAAACTTCAAAAACAAGGAAACATTAGGCCTATATTGGATGTTCAATATTTTCATTGCGACATGGAAACTGGTGAAGTGGTTGACTTTATATTTATTTCAGTGCAGTTCAGGTGTGATAAAAATTGTTGAAGTTGGAAGTTCTATAACTTACAGGAGTGCGCCAGCTTTTTATAAAAACAGAAATTTTCACTAATATTCTGTTCTTCCATTATTCAACTACAGATTTTATTACAATATTGAAGTGAAATTTGGTTTTATCTGTAGACGATAGAGTTTTGCTTGTTTAATGAACTTTATTTGATTGTATCTGTCTCGCAATGGATTTTAATTTTAACAGGCAAAATAGAAAGAATCTTCCCTTTGAACTTCAATTACTTGTGATTTTTGTGGGTAAAAGAAGTTTTATATAAGATTTGGAATATCAGCTTCAAAACAGTACTGTTAGTCTTGCAGCGTATTGATAAAAATATATAACAATTGCATATATCTACGGTGCATGGTTTTTTTAGGACATGTGTTTTTTTATGTATAATTTAATCCTACTTTTCATTTTTGTTTGTTGAATTGTCATTTAATTCTACAAACCCCCGTACATATTTAGTTTTATAACACACTTGAAAATTACTATGTTGATTTTCCTTGAAATGTATTTTTTTGGAGAATATAGGCCGACTGAATAGAGCGACTTGAATTAAATCATCGCTCACAAATTTTATAATAGGCTACAAAGCGCTTCATTAACCCCTAAAAATATGAAAATTATCCCCAGGTTGGAAACCCCTGTCTTAGAATGACTTCGCGTTGATAAAATTAATATACAAATTGTGGTAAGTTACATTGAATAGAAACGAACGAAATGAAAGTGTGACTAATCTGATTCATAAAAAATCTTGTAAAATGGCTATTATTTTCTTTGTAGAAATCGATGTATCCTAGTCGCGTGGAGATAATTACAGTTAACAGCCTCCCACGCAATATTAGATAATAAAACATTAATTTATTCAGCAATTCACTTATTTCCTTTGTTCGTCGTGCCATCTGTCAAATCAGGTTTCAGATATCAAAAATCCCCACCAGAACAGCTAAAGAGATTTTAACAATTTTTTTGGTGTATTTGGGCTCAATCTCCATCATTGCAATTTTCTTGTTTTTTTCTTTTCAAAATTTTTATTCAAAAAATGTTTAAAATATTCTGAGTTTAACATATGAACATACTCATACTCTTACTTATTGAACAATTAATAATTATAGATAATAGATAATTTGCGATTTCATCTGATGACGACACGTGTATATTGTGTTGAAACATTATGTACCTAACCTTAATAAAGAAGTGTGCTATATTCCATAATATTGCCCTGTGTTTTGTTTATCGCTTCTATATGTCGTTCAAATAATTTAATATTATATATTAGAAATATTTAAACAGAACCTATTAAGTAGCGGATGACGACACAACGTGTATATTGTGTTGAAACGTTATGTGACCAACTGAAGTTTGACGATTTGAACTTATTCTCTAGTCGACATTTCCAATGTTTATTTAAAGAAGTGTTCTTAGGGGTATGGATGACGGAAAATAATAACACTATACAAACAAATTATAAATATCATACACAGTTTAAACGATTAATAATATATTCAATACACATAAATTTCTTTCTCCTAAATAATAGACATGGGAATTATCTTATAACAATCGAAAAAACATCACAAAAGCATTATTTAAAAATTATTACGTAGCTATTACGTAGCTCTATACGTAGTAAATATACTTCCATTTTTTGGTACGAATTGGATTTTGTTTCCCTTCAATGATAGTCTATGTTTCAATGAAAGAATTGAATTTAGTTAGTGAAAAAGAAACAGATAACAGTCAGCAAAACACAGGTACGTAAAATACGAAAGTTAAGTCAAGTTAGTGAAAGCAAATATATTCTAGTATATTCTAGTTATATATTAGTTAATCGAAGCAGCAGAAAATACATTTTGCAGCATTTAATAAATTTGTGAACGAAACAAATTCTCACGGCGACAAAATAATGTGTAATCGTTATTTGGTCTAAAGAACACTACTACCACAGATAGTATTACAGAGACATCCTTAGTTAACATATCTGTTTATCTTAACCTACTTGTTTTATCATAAAGCTTTACTTTGTGACCTAGGCCAGTGCTTTTATGAGACTGTGTTCTCATCACCATCTAACACTATTATTTATATGAACCATTGTAACCAAACAAATCAGTCATATGCAACACTTTAAGAGAATTCAATTAAAAATGTATACATGTAAGTAAATCGATGCATGCTCGCACTTTGAATCAATGTTTACTATAGTAAGATATTATTATGTCACTTATTATTCACTTGTAAGCTTTCGTGGACACAGAACATTTACCACACCACTATATCACATAACATGCTTTTATTTATCAGTAGTAATTCTAAGCTTTATTAAGTTTATAAGATAAAAATTGGTTTGAAAGTTTGAAGTGTTTTTACTCATATTAACATTAAGAAATTAATGAATGAAACATTACTTGCAGTTCACACGGTACATGATTATAAATGGAACTGGGTATCTGATACGTATAGTTTAAAGTAAAGTGTTGTCACACGTTGAAATATTGTTCAAATTTGTTGGTATTAAACCTCGTGACGTTTCAGGACAAAGGAATGAACCAAAGGGAGAGCGAAAAAATTGAAAAAGCTTATCAAGCCTTTGTTCCAACATCTGTCACGAATATATAATACTCTATTTTTACCAACTGGATAATGAGAATATAATGATATATGTATTTATATGTATATAGGGTACTCGGCAGATGCAGTGCGATAAATTACATTTTCATTTTTTTTTTTCGGATTTATTCACTCCTATTTTAATCCCGACCATACTGGAATCTTTAACGTGTACGTATAAGTTTGTTTGGTAAATTGTCCCTTCAAAACGAGTTGAGGGTGCCTCAGACCACAGGCTTACGGGTCCGAAGGCCTTTTGGAAGGGCAGACTGGTTTTGCCGAAATTTTCTCACGAATTATATCTGCATTTTTCTTTGTTTTCGGGTAGTTGCCCGATATTTTTTTGGTTGCTGTTCGAAAATATATTATTTGGGGGGCAGCGCCCCCAACCCCCTCCCGTTCCAACGCCTATGCCCCAGACTCATATCATTGCCAAGGAAATGACTCGTTTGAGGCATTGTACAGACATCTCTAGCCCTGGGGTTAGAAGGCGTTAAAAAGATATAAAAAGATGTATTTATTGACTCCATTAATAACAACATCAAAATAGAATTATAGTGAAATAGATTAACAAATAAACTCAAATAAATATACTATCATCTGATACCAAAAACATTAAGAATGTAAGAGGTATTATTGCTGTACGACAGGCTTCTAGACTGATAAAAAGGTTGGTTGTTTGCAGGTAGGGATTCTTAAAAGAGTGTGTCGGAATAGATAACTAAACTGAATCTGGTCAATTTGGTATAATTGAAGGGGGCAGTAGGGGGTAGGGATCTCTGATGGGCACAAAATAACCTAGATCGATGTGTTAAAGACAATAAAGATGAGGATGAACCGCAAAAAGTAGGAAAGGAAGCACACTGAGGTAAGACGAAGTGGAAAAGTGAAAGGCGATGGTTTTGATGGAAAGACGGTGTGGGAACAGTGGAAGATGTTGAAAGAAGAAGATGGATGGGAAAAAACGATGTGGTGGAGGGAAAGACGATATGGTGCAGGGAAAGAACAGAAGGGGATTGGCTGTAAACAAAGAAACATTAAACCGGGTATATATAAAGAAGCACTATCATAATTATTTGGTATCAAAACCACCAAAACCCAAGAACAGGAAGCTAGGAATTGGTCGAAAATATCTAATATTAACACCAAAGAATAGATCTCAGTCAACGGACCGAAGCATTGGACTTTGAAGGAATAATTGGTGACGTCAATACAATCATACAGGGTTCACGTGGACACCCGACTTTTTGATTTTAGATTTTGAATGTATTGATCATATTTATTGTAATGTATATTAATCATTAATTCTGTTAAATCGATGTCACCGATTATACCTCCATATTCAATACTTTCAGTTTATTATTAGTATACATGTATGATTCATAATGATCACTTAGAAATATCCACGCAATATGCTGAACTTTTTCCCTTATAAAACTGGTTGTTATAAAATCACAACTCACCATACGGATAACGGTAAAAAAAATCAACTGTATGGATTTCTAAATTTATACAACAGAACGGAGGAATATTCGGTTAGATCAATATATTACTTCCAGTAAGTCGTTTGCGACTGGGCCATTTCTAAGTCATTTTACATGTTGGAAGATTGGGACCTGATGAAAATGAATTCAAAATAAAACCATACAGTGGTATAACCTATTTTCGTGGATATAAGGATTCAACACCGAATTTCGTCAAAGTTAAAAAAACGAAAAAGAATTTTTATGTCTTAGATGTTTCCTCAGATATTCTACAAAATAATAGAAATTGGTTTATTTCGATTTTCTTAATGAATCCTTCACTTTGACCCATATTTCACGAGCAACCAACTCGGGAACGGCGGCAGAATGCGTCACCTATTTTCGTGTACAATGTTTGATCTATAAATAAGTCTAGATAAACACGTTGTATGGATACCGGGTGGTATAATTAACTTCTCTTAGTAGTTATCTTTAATATCAATTCATTATAACTAGTGACAATTCATTCAAAGAACCACGATTTAAAAAAAAATAGTGACTGACAAAATAAGATACGTAACGTGATTTATTGCTAAAAGTCACTGAAACAACATAAGAATATGGTCCACTCTGTGTTCCATAGAAATTTTCTGCTGACACGGAATCCGCTAGTTGATCACGTGACTTCATTCGTTGGACTACATTCTAGCAGACGACACTTGCAATTCCGATTACCGCTCGGGATTTTAATGAAATTCGGCCGATAAAAAATGGTGACGTTTGGTAATAAGTGAAATCCGCCATTTTGTATTTGTCAAAGTATACATTAATACATTTTACCTTGCTTGAAACTACTGGATTCACTCTACTAGCTGATATTGTACAGAAAACCCATGTTTATTAAAACAAACTAATGCAGAGGTCGCGCAAGGTCGCTCACGTAAATTATTAATCCTTTCCGGAAATCCACGAATAATAGGTTTCCACGAAATTAGGTTACTCGACTGTATAAGATAGAAAAAGTAAACAAAAAACATTATTTGCAAAATCTTAAATACAGAATATGCACTTAATAAATGGTATTAGATGTTCCGAACACCACATTCAAAAGCGACAACAAAATGGGCAACTCATATTGCACAGCAATAAAGCGTATATACATATTTAAGAACTAATAGAAAAACTAAAAACAAACACCAGAAACTGAAAAAAAACACGTGTGTGGATTATATTTTTATATATATTAGATATTACATATCACAACACATTTTATCACGAGCTTCAAAAAACGGTTGTATATTCAAACTGACGTGCATCTGATATACTTTGTTTAGTATTTTACACAACACTAGTCGCAAGCACTAGAAATTATGTTACAGATCAAAATGCACGTGCATTCGTCATAAATTATATTAAGCAACATAATTATACCTTTTAGACTACATATTAAACCTTATTAATCTCATTCAATGTTGGACAAAGACAGCTGATTGTGAAAACTGTATAAAGATAGAATATCACAAACACAAGACAATATCATTAATTTTTTATCTAAGGACAACGCGTGTAAATTTAGCTGTGCTTAACTTTATTAAAGAATTGTGATTATTTAAGCAATAAACTGTTACCTTATCGTGTGTGGTGATTTATCAGCACAAGGGATGGCTGGAAAATTGAATAAATGCGCATTAGTACAAAAATAACAGCTAATGTAAATATTCCATAATAATTGTCTTGTGTTTGTGAAATGTATAAATGAGTTCAACTCCAAAATAGGTGTAAAAATAAACTCATCTCATGTTATCTTAAAGGGGAAGTATGTACCAGCTTCAAAACAACAAAATAGGAAAAAACGGGGGTTGGTCTAATTTCGAAATACCCTAATTAAAGCAGGTAAATCGGCACATACTCCCATTTTAAATCTCTATCAAAATTTTTGCTAGTTGGTTCTTAGCTGCTTCCAAATTCAGCATTTTCTTCAACCAATCCACTCGTCCATCAGCAGCAGTGACAAGGTATTTCCTCATTGTACCTTCCACACCAACTCGTCCCCACGTCTGGTTATAGAGCCAAGATTGAAGGTTTGACACCTCTTCATCGCCGCCTTGCTCTAGAACCTTTTTATTCAACCTTACTTCGCCAATTCTAACATCCAGCTCTCTCAAGCTGGACCATTTTAAGGCTTTCCTTGTCGACCTTGGTAATCTCTTGACAAATTTATAGTGCCGAATCAATTGGCCGTGAAATTCGATGTACAATTCCACTCCATGTCGAAGTGTTCTGATCCATTCTCGTATCTTTTGGTAGAGCCGATCACGTGTATCAGGGATATGATCTCTACTGCCCCACCAATTGACAATATCTCTGATCCGTGCTTGCCATCTGATGAACCAATTTTCCCTTATCTTTAACCAGTCTCGCGTCTTCAGCTGTATGTCTCGAACAGACACACGTCCAGCCAGCCTCAAAAACGGACTTGGCGCCAACCCTGGGAATTTGATATCTCTACCAATTCTTGCTTCAGTGGCAATTTGTGTCTCAAGCTGCTTGATCCTTCGCTCTTTTTCACGAAGTGTTCTGTCGGCTTTTAATTCATTCGTCTCCAGATCTGAGCACCTTTTTGCAAGCAACATCACCTGCTGTTGAAGTTGCCTGAAAACTTTCCGGAACGGGTTCATTTCCCTATGCAACCCTGCAATATCAATCTGCATCCTTGCAATTTTCGCATTAGCTAAGATCAACTCTTCTTTCAGTAGCTCTGTTTCTCGTTTCTGTAATAACCAGGATTTCTCCACGTTTTCTCCCATTGG